TCCACCTTCGCTACGATCACCGCCGCGACGCCAGCTATCCTCCTTCGTGGGTTGCTCTCCTCCTCGTGAATCTCCACCGATGTTTCCACGAAGGCGACCTGCAATTTAACGACAACATACATATTAAAAACGACCGTCTCCACGCCGCACCTTCGATTATTCATCTGCAAATTATTACTCACTCGGTTTCCAGGCGTCATCCTTTTTGGGTGCTCCACCTTCCTCCTGGCCACCGCCCCCCACCGCAGCCGTCGGTTTATCGCCGAATTTCCTCCAGGCTCCGGCTCCTCCTCCTCCTCCACCGCCACTGCTCGCATCGCGATCACCAACCTCACCACCGCCTCGCTTGGGCGCGCCGCTACGCCAGGTACTTGCGCCTCCCTCCGCTTTACTATCCCTGTCTCTCATCATTTTGTCCCTGCCGCCGGTCTCACGCTCCTCCTGCAGCTTCCTCTCGATCTCTTCCTCGCGAGCGCGCTGCTTCGCCGCAGCCCTGTCCAGCATCTCCTGCTGCTCCTTGTACCTTTGCTCCTTCTCCTCGCGTTCGCGCCTCTCCTCCTCCTCCTGCTTCTTCATGCTGAGCGCCATCGCCTGCTGGTACTCCTCCTCCTGGATGCGTCTCATCTCCTCCTGCAGTCTCTCCTCTTCCTCCTCCTTCTCGCGCAGGTACTTGCGACGGCGCTCCTCTTTCCTCTTCGTTTTGCGATCGTCCAGGCGCTTGCGTCTCTCCTCGGCCAACATCTGCTCGAACTCGCGCACCTTGTCCTCGTACAGGACGTTCCTTTCCTTCAGCAGTTTCTCGAGGAACGTATCCTTGTCCGGCTTCATACGGATCATACGCTCCTGAGTGGCCACCGCCAACTTGCGTTCCTCGATAGCCGTCGCGATCCTCTCGCTCTCCTGCTGTTCCCAGAAAGCCTGATCCTGCAGCTGACGCTCCTTCATGCTGACCTGCAGCAGCGGTATCTCCTCGATGCGTTTCGCCCTCTCGAAGTAGTCGACCTTCTTCTCCTGCGACTTGAGTTTCGCCTGCAGCTCGCGCTTCTCCTTCTGCAGTTCCTCGACTTCGCGCGCCGCGATCTGGTCGGCGTCCATCTTCTTGATGTCGTCCTCGTCGAGTTTCTTCAGGATCTTCTGGCCGTGAGCGGTCTGCGAGATCTGCGCCATCTTCTCCTTCCAGTGTCTGTCCTTGATCTGCTGGATCTCGTTCTGAGCGCGCTTACGTTCGCGCTCCTCGCGTTCCTGCTCGAGACGCTTCTGTTCGGCGAGCGCCTGCTGCTTGGCGATCTCCTCGAGACGTCGCTGCTCCTCCTCCTCGCGGACGGTGTTCAACTTCTCGATGTACTCCTTTCGATCCTCGATAATCTTGTGCCGTTGCAGTATCATCTCGTGCTCGCGCACCTTGTTGTCGTGATAGCTGGCGACCATCGCGGCCCTCACCTTCTCGCGCTCCTGCCTCTTCTTGTGCGGATTGATGACGGCGATCGACTGGTGGAGCACCGTCGCCATGTTGACCAGCTGATTGCGGATCTGCTCGCTGGGCATCGACTGCAGCGTCGGACCTTCGGGTTTGTCCTCGCGCTGACTCTCGCTCAGATCCATTCCAAAGTGCACGCAGTCCTTGCCGTGATCGATGCGGATCTGCATGTCGTTGTGGCGGACGCAGTCGACGAGCAGCCGCTCCATGTGGAAGGCGGTCGTGAACTTGGCCAGCGAGATGAGACGCTTGAACTCGATGGTCTGGTAGACCTGAGCCACCTGACGCACCAAACGGACCAGCGTCACGTCCTGCAGCGCCGGCACGTAAAGCTGCAGGCCGGACTGATCCTCCACCTGCAGCGATTCGATCACCGAGTGCACGCGACCGCACAGAAGCAGCGGATGAAAATCCACCTCCAGCCAGTTGTAGAGGTCCTGCAGTTGCGGCGTGGCCAGATGGATAACGTTATAGCGGGTCACGTCCTTAAGCAGGCTGGCCCTGGTCGGTGGCTGCGGCAAGCTCAGCAGCACGGCCAGCTTCTGTGCCTTCTCCATCGGCGATTTGTCCGTTTCTATGAATCTGTCGAATTCCGGATGGGCGGACGGCAGCGGTATAGCGAGCGTCGCGATCAGCACCCGACAAGCCATCTTCTGCAGCTCCTCGGGCGTCATGTTCTTCTTCATATCCTTCGAGAGCTGGTACAGCTTGAGGAGGGCGGCCGCATGGAACAAGTAGTTGCCGGCCTTCCAGAAGACCATCGCCAGCTTCTGGTAATAGTTGGCCATCGTTTTCGGCACGGGCATCTTCTTCGACATGTTCATCAGATTGTGGATGTCCTCGATTGCCTTGTACGCCTCCTGCCACAGTTCCATCTGGATCGCCGAGTCCAATTGAAAGAGACGCGTCTCCAGATTGAATTGCTGCGTTTCCGGCTTCGAGATCGACACGTTCGCGACCTGCGTGGGCAACTTGCAGATATCCTCCAGATGCTTCCGCAGCTTGTCGCAGAGCTTACGGAATTCGGTCTTGCGATTGTATTTCAGACAGAATTGAAAGGCCATGCGGGCGATGTCGTGGTACAGCGTCTCCACATGGGCATTGGTACGCAGCAGCTCCAGGCACTGACAGTACGACTCCCACAGGAATTTCACCCACGGCGTCAGGATCGTGCGGTCCGATCTGTCCTGAGCGTCCTCTCCAGACACGGCGCTAAAATTACATACGATAATAGTAGTGTAACAACGACGACAACAACAACAACAATTCACAATAATAATAATAATAGAAAAAACAGCAACAATAACTACCTCAAGAGAATACTTTCAGGTGTCGCCAGATTATCCAGATCATCAATGTCGATGACAGCCTGCGCTGATTTTTCCCTGGCATTCTCCGTCTTCTCTTCTGCCATCCGCAGGTATCCCCTGATAACATTCTCCAGAGAGCCCACATTCACCGACTGGAACAGATTCCTGTACTGGAAGAGACCCTCCTTGGCGATGTGCGACTTCTTGAGTTCCACACACAGATCCAGGTATTTGAACATGATGGGTTCCAAGATGGACTCGGACAGATTGTAGGACCATTTCTTGTTGCGGAACACCTCCTGCAGGGTGTCCAGGGCCCTGGCTGGCTTTCCCACATCGATAAACTCTGCGTGTTGCGACGAGAACGAGATTATAGTAAAAAATGATCATTCATCATATGGTTGCAGCAGCATATTGCGAGCGAACGTGCATGTACTTACCGTTGGCGCGTTTCAGCGCGTTCTCCGGTCGTTGCCCATATCGAGCCATGATTGCGATTCGCTTTTGACACGGTTCACTTTTTACATTTGCAATAAACACGGGGAAATCGTCCGAAGCTTTGGGCTCGTCAAGCAACCCCAAAACACCGCACTGGCAAAATGGACGTGCGCTCGCTCGCAACGGATGTGATTGGTATGACAATTCGTAAACTTTACCACCGCAAATTCCCCTGCTAACCTATACGAATAAAGGAGCGGGGAAATTTAAAATTTTGTAAATTCCGACGACTGCAGCAGTGCAGCAGTTTTCCTTATATGCTTATTTATTGATATATTTTTGTTATTGATTGTTATTGTATTTTTTATTGACTGGCTACATGCACGATTGTTGCCTACAAGTTGACTACTTATAGCTATTAACAATTAATGCACATTCTTATATGAAGACAAACTGTTTTATGTAAGAGATTTTGAGAATTGTCCCTACTTAGTTGCAGTTTCTGTTATATGTTTTCTGAAGACAATGAAGAACTTTAGTGATGATGATCTATGGTTGTTGACATGTTCCACTAGTACTTGCCCAAAGTGAAATGTGAAGTTCACAGTGTGAAGTTTACCATACAACGAAAATAGAAGAAGGAAGCAATGTATTAACATCTTAAGTTCATTAAGTTTGCATTCAGAACGATGTAGAATTATCAGGAAATCCCATAAAGACTTTTAAATTTAACTTGAGACAGCAGCAGCTGTCACACATTTATTTATGCTTATTTTAATCTCTGTATATTCTAGATCAATCGAATGATATTCGAAATTCTTCTGGGAGTGAGTTTTTATGAAAATACTAAGACGATATTCTACTTTTTAATCAAATTTTACATGTATGTTTGGTTGCCTTGGTAAATGCAAGCGTTGCGCATATATTTATGTAACAAAAGATACTTAACGACGTTTTTTTCTCGTTTATTTATTAAGTCTTTTCGGTTTTTCGTGGATTTCTCGAGTCGCCTGTTATAACCTGAAGAACATATTTTTCTCGTTTTTTATTCAGTTTTTACAGTTTTTCTCGACGTGATTTTCTCGACAAATCCTTAAGACAGTTACATCACCGACCACTCGTATGAAAGCTGAATATTTTCCCTTTCCAACAAGCCTACATACATCTTCGTGCGGTCATCGAGTCGCCTGCTATAAGCTGTAGAAATTGAAAAAAACACATATTTAACGTCTTATACATAACAGAGAAATGACGGTTTTCTTGTTTTATTTTGAGTGTTTTCGGTTATTCGTGAATATCTCGACAACCCCTAAAGGTAAATAAATCAAAGACCACTCGTATGAAAGCTGAAGATCTCACCTTTCCAACGCGCTTATATACATCCTTGTATTGTCACCGAGTTGACGATTATAAGCTGAAGAACATTTTTTTCTCGTTTTTTATTCAGTTCTTACAGTTTATTGTGATTTTCTCGACAAATCCTTAAGATAGTTACATC